AGATTGCCTGTCTCAAATCCATAAACCAGCTCTCCAGTAAGGGATGTTCCTGTTGCTTACTTGATGGCAGGAGAGCCTGCAGTGGGCCTGGGTGATGACACCCCAATTTAAAGGATGCTGCCAAATTTCCTTTTTCTTTTTCTTAGTATTCCTTCTAGCTACATTTATGAATAAGCTAAAGTGTTATCATTAAAAATAACATTAACATGCTAATTTCTTGGCACTACTCATGCCACTCCTTTCCTTTTTCACTGGCCTCAGACAAATACAATGGCCTAGATGATTTCATTGCATTTTTAAGCTGCTAGCGTAATGGCATTGAATTTAATAATGTAGCTATGATCCCAGCTCCTTACAACAGGAAGGGAGTTCCTGGGAACTCCTTTCAAAGGGACTTCCTACATTCGCACCCCCAGCAGGCATGCGAAAGGAAGTCAGGAGGGAGTCAGCTGCTGCAGGACTTCCAGCCTCAGCTGTAAGGAGGTAGGAAGCCAGGAACACAGGAGATGAGCACTAGAGGTGCTCTTCTGGCTTATGGTTTTTGGTCCACCCCCCATAGAGAAGTGGTAAGGGTAGAGGCAGAAGCAGCTGAGCACTCCGAGTTCCCTTCCTCAATGCTGCGGCTGTTGTGTCCCTCAGCTTCTCCAGAGGTAACCTGCTACCATAGGGAACATGAATTTGAGAGGATCATCTTCACCATATGGGCTGCCATATGACCACTGCCAAGCCAACAGCAGTCTCTAGGCAGAGAAACATGAATTCAGTCTCAAAAAAATACATATAGGTTAGTAAAAAGGTTAAACTGACCTCAGTGATTAATATATTAACAATACAATTATTCTTTTGTGGGGAACTTTGGCCTGCTTTCTTTATGAGGATGTTCTGCCTAATCTATAATTTTTAAAAGAGAATTGTCACAGAAGCTGCATGAGCTGCTTAGAGCCAAACTCTGCTATTTCCAGGAGCAGTCTCTGATGGTTTTGAACCTGGGGAGGAGCGGCAGGGAGCATAAAACATCCAGATAATCTGCTCAGAGTCGGAAACAAGAGCAAGAGATTTAGATTAGACCTTAGGAAGAAGCATTTCTACTGTAAGGGTTAGGAGGCCCTGGCACAGGTTGCCCAGAGAGGCTGTGGCTGCCCCATCCCTGGCAGTGTTCAAGGCCAGGCTGGATGGGGCTTTCAGCACCCTGGTCTAGTGGAAGGTGTCCCTGCCTGTGGCAAAAGATTGGAACTAAATGATCCTCAAGGTCTCTTTCAACCTACATCATTCTATGAATCTGTGATTTCTTGGCTTTTTTCCTGTGTACAATAGGATACTGGAATTAAAATCAGCATTTCTAGATTTAGCTAAAGGCAACTTGGTGGACGAGCTGCTCCTGCAGACAAGCGTGTAGAGTTTATACCACTCCTGTACTTATGCAGGGCACTTGTGCAGGTTTTATCAAGTGGGAGGAGGCTGCTGTTTGGATCTAGCTGCTAAGTAAGAACCTGTTTTTCAGGAGAACGATTTGGAAAGGGTAATTATGTAGGAACAGTCATTTTAGCGCATTACTTCATCATAATAATACCCGAATTAATGAGTCTAATGAGATTGAATTACTGAGTTCAGTGTGCAGCAAATTGTACGGCTTTCCCCTACAAAATTTAAGGTTTTTCTTAATATTGTAAGTCAGCAGCACTGCCAAGGTTAAAAGTGCAGTTTCTATCACAATAAAAGTTCAAATGCTTTCAGTCATTGCTGTGTGTCTTAACAATTCCAACTCATCAGTCACATCCGTTTCAAAACTGTTAGGCTAGTTTTGAGGCATCGGGTTTGAAGCCAGGCAAATAATGGGCTTATACTCACAGGTGTTGTGTTTTATGCCAGCCTGTAGAACAGCAAAGGTCACCAAGTGCCCTAAAACAAAAAAGGAATTTTGATTATTGGTCTTGGCAAACTAATTCAAGTGATGCAAATTATCTGAGTAATGTCAGGTTACTTTCTGACACCATAAATCAAAACTATGATTTTAGGCTGAGAAAGTTGGGGCTGTTCAGCCTGGAGAAGAGAAGGCTGCGTGGAGACCTCATAGCAGCCTTCCAGTATCTGAAGGGGGGCTATAAGGATGCTGGGAAGCGACTATTCATTAGGGACTGTAGTGATAGGACAAGGGGTAATGGGTTCAAACTTAAACAGGGGAAGTTTAGATTGGATACAGGGAAGAAGTTCTTTACTGTGAGGGTGGTGAGGCACTGGAATGGATTGCCCAGGGAAGCTGTGAATGCTCCATCTCTGGCAGCATTCAAGACCAGGGTTGGACAGAGCCTTGGGTGACATGGTTTAGTGTGAGGTGTCCCTGCCCATGGCAGGGAGGTTGGAACTAGATGATCTTAAGTTCCTTTCCATCCCTAACTATTCTATGATTCTATGGGTGAGCAGCATAACCTTGCTAACTAAGACCTTCATTGAGCTTAATGGGATATTCTCCATCTTGTAGATTGTTAAGAATAAGGCAATTTGGGCTTTTTTGCCTCTCCAGATGCCTTTTGTTCAAGAGAAATCCTACGTTACAAGAGCTGGACAGTAGATATTTTCTGGGCTTCAAGCTTCTTTGTTCAATGAATTGTTTGCATAGTCCTGGAAGGCGCTCATTCCTGTTCTAATCAACCTAGTGCTTCTTTGGGAGCAGGCCCTTGTCTCTCTGCTGGTACACTTTTCTAGAGTCACAATTGTCACAAAGGAGCTACAGGGTCTGACTAGGCCTGCTGGAATCCAAATGACCAGATTAAGAGAAGAAATTGAAAAATAATGCTGGTTTAACTCAATGCAGCATGATGATACTTTAACACAAGCATGAAAAAAGTGTCCCGAAAGTGGTTTTAGTGCAATTTGAATGTGAATATATTGGAAGCAATGCTGTACTTCCCAATGGCAGTGAGAAGCTGTACCGCGCAAGGCTAAAATGGATGAATTAGAAAGTACCATGTTATTGTGGTCAGGAGTGTTATGGAAGTGGTCACAAGGTTACATGACTGTGGAATGTCCACAATTCAGAAAGCATTAGGGTTGGATTTATTCTTTCCAACCACCTGCTCACTGTTCATCTAAATCCTTCTGAGGCAGGGATTTTTGGAGCAAACCCTGTGCTGTTTTCCCCTTCCTTTTCCCTTTTTTCTTTTCTTTATTCTTTTTTTATCTTTTTTTTTCTTTCCTTTCCCCCTCTCTGTCTCTCTCTTTCTGCCAGCCCTCAGTTTCCAGGTGTCATCCCAAAAGTATGTCCTAATGTGACATTATGCTGCATCTCGAGTGCTTAAATGCCTAGTAAATGATGTATCTTGCCACCTGCTGTGGCTTATGGCAGATGGTGCAGAAACAGAAGGATGCACCTACCTCACTGTGTGATACTGACTGAAGCAGTGGGGGGGAATCCCCATGGCCATTCCTTTACAGCCTGCAGCATGAGGTTTGATTATCCCATCTCTTAAAAGATACAAATGTTACAACCATAAAATTATCTGGCTTAATATGAATATGGAGATAAGGTGATGCTATAGCAGAATAGGTATTGTGAATGAATATATAATTTAATATAGGTAAGTGCAGGAATGAGTTGTTGATTTAATGAGATGTCATTACTTCTTGTTCCAGGAGACTCGAAAAGATTGAAGTTTATTTCTGTGTGACTCAATTATCCTTTTTTCCTTGCCTGCGCAGTAAACAGCAGTCTAACTAATGACCCTGACTCATTAGAGGATAAACAAGTGCTACCTTCTTGTCTAGTCATGTATGGTATGTAATGACCTACCTTCCAATTAAATTCCTTTAAAAGCTGTAGTTGAAATCCAGTCTTCAGTTTACAAAGGTCATTCAAGAAAACTAAAACTAGTCTTGGACAGACAATGAACATCTGAGCAAAAAGGAAAAACAAGAAGAAAAAATAGTTGTTGAATATCTGGACAAATTAAATTATGTATCTTTTACAGATACTAAAGGCATGTGGTAACTAGGAGGAAACTTTCTGTCTTGAGGATTTAAAAAAAGGCTATTAGGAATAAATCAAAGGGACTTTTAATATTTTGCAAAATAGTATGCAGACTGACCTCAGATCACAATACTGCAAATGATTCTAAACATACTTTATAGATTTGAATAGCATCGTTGTAGTCAATCACCCTTGAGAAACCACCCCATTGGTAAGCACAACTGTTAATATGATCTGACCTATTTTTATCTTGACCACAGTTCTTTGTACTGTAACTTATTGTATTCATCAGCAGCCCATCTTTCAGAACATCGGCAGAAAGTTCAGAGGTTTGGAGATGCAGTTAGATTCAATAGCCCACAGATGGAGATGGTGCTTTCTTTTGATATTATTAGGTCATTATGCATACATTTATAGCTGGAGATTTAAATGAGGAGAGGGTCTTGAAAGTTATCAGTAGATGAGTTTCTTTAAAGAAATGCAAAATAAAATCTATTGTAATGTGTTTTCTTTGGAGCTTTATTAAAAACACTAATATGTTCTGAAAAGATGAATTGAAAGATGAAGTAGATTGTGCCGATAGTATTTTCATCTTTGGATACAGGAAATGATATTTAATTTTAATATCAGGCTGTTTCATTTTTTCATCATCACAGAGGTTTAAAATTTGAAGATAAAATCCTTTACTTTTGAAAGAACAAAGAATAGGTGTGTCAGTTATTTGTGGGTTAATATTTGTATATTTCTTCTTTTATCAGCCCTGCTGAGTTTATTCTTTTTTTATTGCACTTTATATCTTTCATGCCTTGTAGCTCTGTCTCATAAAGTTCTCTGTCATCTGTTCCCAAACAAATATTACCTTGTGTACCCTTACACACTTTTATGATTTTTCTGCGTGAAACAGTAATTTTTGATGTATTTCTACTTTCATTTCATGCTATCTGAGCCTCTGTAATGCAATTAAATCCTTTAGTCACAGTGTTAACATGGTTTATTTAAATTATATTTTAATTTTCCTGTTCTATTACTCTTGGAGGTCTAGAAGTCCACAGCTGATACTGGAAGGAAAGGTGACCTAGCATAGGCAAAGTTTTACAGGAATCAAAAGGACAGAACCATAGATTTTTTTTTTTTTCAGTTTGCCAATACTCTCTCAAGAGAACATGCACTAGCCATTGTGGGGATCCCAGTGGAGGTAGCACATACCTACAAATCTTCTCAACACAAACTTAACTTGAAAAGGAGGAGTCTGGGGGTAGAGGGACTGAGGAGGGCAGAATCATAAATTATTTTATGTTGCTTCACAGCAGGGTCAGGATTCCAAGAACACCCTAAAATCCTGGCTTTTCTTGACTTCCAGGTATTAAAGTTTCTAAGTAGTCTGTCTTCTGTGTAATACATTGCATGATGTAACACCCGTAAGAGTGCAGATTAGGGCACATTCTCCCTATGTTGTGGGAAACAGGAAAGGAGCAGACAGAAAACAGCTATTTTCCTGCAGAAAAAGTAAATATGAATACTTTCCTGTAGTGCATATGAACACTTCAAAACATAACTTTAGCCATGTATTAGCCGTCTCCCAGCAATGTCACACCTTGAGTCAGGCACCATCCTTTGGGGCATAACTGAAGCATAGCTTTCAGTGTTTCAATATGGGAGTTTTGGACTGGTTTTTGAAAAGAGGCTTTCAATGGCATTTCTTCAGGATCTTTTTCCCTTTTTTAACCAGGTAATCTGTATAGAAATTCATTCATGTATCCACAGAGAGTCTTCTCTCTAGTTAAATGAAATGGCCAGAATTACAACATGGAAATGACAGCTATGGGCAGTCAGAGGAAATGACTGAAAACTTCAGGGGCACTCAGCTACATTCTGAAGCCTGGTGAATTAGCTTATTTTCCTGTTTATTAGTCTGATCATTGAAATGTTATATAAAAAAAAATTGCTTGGGGTTTTTTTCTTGTTAAAGTTTTGCACCCACAACAATTTTCTACTTGCTCTTTGCCAAGTAAACTATGGCCTTATGTAGCTGTAAAATGGTTGAGCTGGGTATCAGCTGGAGGCAAAGTGTAGAAAGCCACATGAATGTTAGCAGTGCTCTGGCACACTGCCAATAACGTGGTGACCATTTTGCTCCCAGGGCTTAAAAGCACACTGCTAAAATTCTTTGCTAAAATTAAGTGATCAAGACTGACAATGAAAACAGATGATAAATGACTGATAAAATGACTGAAACTGTTTGCTAAGCTATGAAAAGGTTTTTGCTAACAGGTGTATGTACGTGGATTGCATAAATAGCAACATCTTTGATATACTAAAGCTAGCAATTGCGTTATTGGTTCTTAGCAGATGCAGTGCAGGCTATCTTTATAAAGAATACATTTGCTTGTGGTTAAAGGGTGACTTTCTAGTGAAAATAACTGACTTGCAGCTCTTTAGATCCACTAAAGGCTGTTTCTCAAGTGTAGTACAATCCCGTTTCTTAAGAGACAAAACAGCCTTTTATGCTTGGAAGCTAATTTAAACTGAACATTAATGTCTACAGTTTTCAAGATTTTTGTGACAGTTTTGTGTTTTAAGAAAGAGTATTGTTTTCAAAATACAAACTGTCATTAAGGTCAAAACTTCAGATTATAATGAACACCCTAAATTCTGAGTAATGAATTACAGTAAATTAATGCTATCACCAATAAATTGTCTAGATTAGCTAAAAGTGGAAAAAGGCCATTTCAGACCACATCTCTCCTTATTAATTGCTTCTAATGCAGGCTACCTGCTTGGTCCATAGGGAGAGAAGGGTCTTGCTGTGCCTGAGCACAAAACAGGTACGTCACTGCTCCACACTGGGAGGGCAGTTGACTTGATAACATTAGAAGACCCCCATTTCATCCCTCCTGAGATAGCAGCTCCATTTGCTGACTAATTTACAGGTTTTCTTCAGTGTCCTACTGGCTGCTGACAGTACTTTTTGAGAGCTCTTGCTAACTGGTGGGTAAAGTGCTCTTCTTCTCCCCTAACTGGCTGAACAGTCTGATGGCTTTCTCCAGTTGCAAGCAGCTGTGTTGCTGCTTTACCCCGTTCTGAGAGGCTAATATTCACCAAGTCACTCTGTTACTGCAAGGCACCATCTCTGCCTGTGTTCTTTACCTGTTTTTGTTTTAAGTAAGTGTGAACTGGAACATGTTATCATGTTCTGTGTCTCCAGCTCTTCTTTCCCCCCCTTTTTTTATTATTGCAACACAGTCCTTTGTTTGTAGATGTCGTCTTTTTTTTTTTTTCTTTTAAGCAAGCATATCACATAGAACTAAATCAAAATATGTCTTCAAATATCTCTATTTTACAAGTTGGGCTATTGAGTGGCATTGTAGAAGGATAGCTATTTGGGAAACTGCTTTGAGTAACTTTTAGTTCAGTAAATCAGAAAGCAAAGGTAGAATTAAGCTTTGCAAAAAAAGAGATTAATTTTAGAAACTCAAAAGGTTCCTCAATGTAATGTTATAAACTGACTTATTGTTCTTAGTTGTCTTCAAGCGAATCAAATGTAATCAGCAAATTCATCTCTGTAGAAAACAGCATTAGAATTGATCAGGCTTGTATTAGTAGAATGAGTGAGTCAGTACTGCCTAAAGTTATGGGAAGCTCTACTTCTGTTTCATACTAATTAACAGAGCATCTGTCCCCTTACCTCTCTTCACAAACAAAATCTACTTTAAACAACAACAAATTGTTCCAAAGATGTGCGTATTGTGTTTATTATATTTTTGAAATTACAAAATACAGCAGATGTTTCCCACTTCTGGCAGGGATAAGTAATAAATCCATTGCAATGAGGTAAGGAAGCCAGTTGTTGCAAAGGCTTAAGATGAGCTGAAGTGGGAAGATTTTTTGAAAGCTCTGTCATCTCACAGAAGTTCTTCAAGGATTAGGATGTTTTCTAATTACAGTTCCACCTCACTGTTACAAAGGTAAACCACTAGTTTGTATGTTTCCCTTTTCTAAAGAGTAAGATTTTGCTGATGCCTACATCAGTGGTTGCCTCACAGCAGTGACCCTGCTGGGTAAGTCTTTCTGTGCAGCATTTCTTCTGGTGACCTGAACTGGCACCTTTCTCTGTGTTTCAATAAAGTGTTAGTCTGATTGCAATGTAAAGAGCGCTAGAAAGCTGTAGGACCAGGCTCTTGTGTTTGAAGTGCCAGAATTATGCATTGCCAGATCCTTGTCTATGAGATAGATAACACTTCCCAGACAGATGGCTTAGCTTTCACATTTTGGAGAACTTCCATTCTTTGCCTTAGCTTTCTATCTGTTATGTAAAGATACTCTAATACCTGAGTAAGGAGAGGGATCTTCTTCTGTGAAATAACCAAGATAATTCTTTTGAAGGCAAATAAAGAGATTGATCAAATTAAGCTATGGAAGCATAGTCAGCAAACTTCCTTGGTAAAGCATGAACTGGTTGAAACAAAGCAAATTAAGCCCACTTCCAGAGGAAGAAACACTTAAATTATACCTATGGTAACAGGGTGACCTATTGGGTTAAATAAGCAGCCATAAAATACTGTAGGATTTATTGAAATAGTATGATAGAACCTGGAATTAGTTTGAGTAGATCTTGGCACTTAGTAGCTAAATCAACTGCCCTTCCATTTAACTAAGAATGATATGGAGGAGAAAAAGTGAGCAACCGCACTTGGTCCAGTCACACTGTGACCATAATGGAGACAGGGTTTGCGTCTAATCTAAGGGTAAGGGAATTTCTGGAGATTTTTTTTAAGACCCATTACTCTATTTCTGTTATCTTCAAGTATAAAATCCTAAAGGGATACTTGACATACTATCATTCCTTTCCCTCCCCACCTCTTCTCTGGAAAAGGACAGTAACTTGAAACTTAAGAGGTCAAAGGGAGTCACCTATGAAAGGAACTTGCATGCCACTACAAATAGCTTCACCATATTCACAAGCTAGCATCTGTTCCTGCAAATTGGCTAATTGTGTGTGCTAGCAGATATTCACCAATGAGGTAATCAATTATCCATTTTGTGCAAACAATGAACATTTGCATGTATCAAATCAAAGGTTTTATGGACAGCTAACTCTTCCCCTAGTAATGAACATTAAGCAGGGACCATCTTAAAAACATTCATCAACATTTCAAAGCTTCAGGGAAGTTGAATGGGGCTGAAATTCTCTCATGAATAAGCACTGCACAGTGTTGCCTAACAAAGTATATATGTGGCAATATTAATATTAGAAGGTAGCAGAACATAATATAAATGATAATTAGGAGAAATGACAGCTCAGCAAAAAGGAGCGATAGCATCATTAGTGCCACTAGGGGCTTTGTGAAGCATACTCTTCACTGTACAGCTATAGAAAAGGGAAGGGCATAGGAACAACAGTTTCTGATTAGGTCCAATAGTTCTGTGGAAATTCAAACCATTGCCTAGACAGAACGCAAAAATTTTCTGATTTTCAGAAGGGTCTAAGTATGGTTTTTCAAAGGGTTTTCAGGTAGCCATTACAGGTGCTTTTTGAAAGTAGGACTTAAGCTTGATTGTATAACCTTTCTTTTACCTTCTCTCCATATTGTGATGGGACAATAACTCTAGAGTGACAAGCTGCTAGCCCTGAAGGCTTCTTACAATAAATTCAAACCTAAAATATAATGAACTGTACTTTGTGGAATAGATGATAGGATTCCAGATCTCTCTCATTTAACATTTCTTTCTGCCTCTTGCATGAGGATTTTGTCTGCTTTGTAGGGATGATGTCAGTTTTGTCCATGCTCATAAAACAGCTTTCTATGCTCTGAGGCAATTATAAGAGAGGAACAATAATAAAAAGCAACATATGAAGTTGAAAGTTGTTACTTTCTAGCCAATAGCATGTTGGTAACTTTTAAGCCGTAACTGTAGTACCTTTATTCACCACATCAAAGTTGAATAGAAGTTTTAATGTATTTTATTTGGGGTATAGAACTTCCAATATTGCCTTCACTTTATAGTAAAAAATCGTTGCATAATTCTCTGCGTACCTCAGAGGCTGTAGACAGTGCAAGTCAATCATGGTAGTCAGTCTTGTCAGCAGGTACTCTGTGTCCAGTGC